CTGATGGAATAATGAACAAGTGGGAGGAGTGGCACGAAAGAGTCAAAGAGGCATCACCGGACATCATAGCTCTCACAGAAACCAAGCTCACAGGTATGATAACAGATGCCATTTTTCCAACGGGATATCAGATCCTGAGGAAAGACAGAGGGAATGGGGGGTGGAGGAGTGGCACTGCTGATGAGCTGGAGAGAGGAGACAGTGGAGAAGCATGAGATTACATAGGAGGAACACTTCAGTCTGGAGGTCCCAAGGTGGTAATTGCAGTGATGTATAACCCACCACAGAACAGCAGGAGGTCAAGGCAAGAGTATGATGAGAGCAATAGAGCGATGGTTGACACACTGGCTGCAGTGGCCAGAAGGGTTCATGCGTGCAGGGCAAAGCTACTGATCATGGGTGACTTTAACCACAAGGAAATCGATTGGAAGAACTTGGAGCTACATGGGGGCCAAGATACATGGAGGGCTAAGATGATGGAGGTGGTACTGGAAAACTTCATGTACCAACACATAAGGGACACTACCAGAGAGAGAGGAGAGGATGAACCAGCAAGACTGGACCTGGTTTTCACCTTGAGTATTACAGATATTGAGGACATCACATTTGAAAGACCCCTTGGGGCCAGTGATCATGTGGTTTTAAGCTTCGAATACACAGTAGAGTTACAAGTGGAGGGGAAAGCAGGAAGGGCCCGGCGAATGAAGCCAAACTACAAGAAAGGGGACTATGCGGGAATGAGGAACTTCCTGAACAGGGTTCAGTGGGACAGAGAACTGGCAGGGAAGCCAGTAAACGAGATGATGGAATATGTAACAGCAATGTGCAAGGAAGCTGAGGAAAGGTTTGTACCCAAGGGAGGTACACCAACAAGTGCTGGATGAAATACACACAACACACAATACACAAAGGAGGTGGGACCAGATATCTCTTCATGGGTCCTTAGAGAGGGAGCAGAGATGCTGTGTGTGCCACTAACAAAAATCTTCAACACATCCATTGAAACTGGGCAACTACCTGAGGAATGGAAGATGGCAAATGTAGTCCCAATTTTTAAGGAGACAGACACGAGAGCGGTGGAGCATCTAGAAAGACACAAGCTTATAAATGACAATTGGCATGGTTTCAGGGAAGGAGAATCCTGTGTCACAAAGCTACTGGAGTTTTATAACAAGGTAACAGAAGTAAGAAGAGAGGGAGAGAGAGGTGGATAGACTGCATTTTCTTGGGCTGCAAGAAGGCCTTTGACACAATTCCTCACAAGAGGTTAATGCAAAAGCTAGAGGATAAGGCATGCATAACAGGAAAGGCACTGCAATGGATCAGAGAATATCTGACAAGGAAACAACAATGAGTCATGGTATGTGACGAGGTGTCAGAGTGGGCGCCTGTGATGAGCGAGGTTCCACAGGGGTCAGTCCTAGGACCTGTGTTGTTTTTAGTATATGTGAATGGCATAACAGAATGAATAGACTCAGAAGTGTCCCTGCTTGCAGATGGTGTGAAGTTTATAAGGAGAATTAAATCGGTTAAGGATCAGGCAGGACTACAAAGATACCTGGACAGGCTACAAACCTGGTCCAGCAACTGGCTTCTTGAATTTAACCCTGCCAAATGCAAAGTCATGAACATCGGGGAAGGACAAAGAAGACCGCAGAGAGAGTATAGTTTAGGTGGCCAAAGACTGCAAAACTCAATCAAGGAAAAAGATCTTGGGGTGAGTATAATATCGAGCACATCTCCTGAGGCACAAATCAATCAGATCAATCTGGCAAACCTAAGAATAGCATTCTGATACCTCAGTAGGTAATCGTTCAAGACTCTATACACCATTTATGTCAGGCCCATACTGGAGTATGCAGCACCAGTTTGGAATCCACACTTGGTCAAGCACATCATGAAATTAGAGAAAGTGCAAAGGTTTGCAACTAGACTAGTCCCAGAGCTAAGGGGATTGTCCTACAAAGAAAGGTTAAGAGAAATCAGCCTCACGACACTGGAGGACAGGAGGGTCAGGGGAGACATGATAACATATAAAATACTGCGAGGAATTGACAAGGTGGACAAAGACAGGATGCTCCAGAGATGGTACACAGAAACAAGGAGTCACAATTGGAAGTTGAAGACTCGTATGAGTCAAAGGGATGTTAGGAAGTATTTCTTCAGTAATAGAGTTATCAGGAAGTAGAATAGCCTAGAAAATGACATAGCAGAGGCAGGAATCATTTATAGTTTTAAGACGAGGTTTGATAAAGCTCATGGAGCAGGAAGAGAGAGGACCTAGTAGCAATCAGTGAAGAGGTGGGGCCAGGAGCTGTGAATCGACCCCTGCAACCACAAATAGGTGAGTACACACACACACACACACACACACACACACACACACACACACACACACATGAACACAAGGGATATACCAAGAAGTGTTGGATGAAATGCACATAACCAAGGAGAAGGTGAAGAAGCTGCAAAGTGACCTTGATACCTCAAAGGCAGTGGGACCAGACATCTCTCCTTTGGTCTTTAGAGAGGGAGCAGAGATGCTGCGTGTGCCACTAACATCAATTTTCAATGCATCCATTGAAACTCGGCTATTTCCTGAGGTATGCAAGACGGCAAATGTAGTCCTCATTTATATTAAGAAAGGAGACAGAAATGGGGCACTAAACTACAAACTAGTGTCACTGACATGTGTAGTATGTAAAGGAGAGTAGTGGAGCACCTAAAATGGAACAAGCTTATAAAGGACAACTAGCACAACAAAGGTTTGCAACAAAGCTAGTTCCAGAGCTAAGGGTAATGTCCTACAAAGAAAGGTTAAAGGAAATCAACTTGACGACACTGGAGGACAGGAGGAATAGGGAAGACGTGATAATGACATATACAATTCTGTGAGGAATTGACACAGGATGTTTCAGAGATGGGACATACCAACAAGGGGTCACAATTGGAAGGTGAAGACTCAAATGAGCCACAGATGTTAGGAACTATTTCTTCAATCATAGAGTTGTCAGGAAGTGGAACAGTTTGGAGAATGATGTAGTGGTACCATACATAGCCTTAAGAAGAGATATGATAACTCTCATGGAGCAAGGAGAGTGATCTAGTAACGACCATTGAAGAGGCAGGGCCAGGAGCTATGATTCGATCCCCACAACCACAATTAGGTGAGTGTACTTTCTCACATACCCCCACACACTCACTCATACACTTACTCATTCACACACACTCACTCATGCAAAGAATCATGAGAATGTTTTCTAAACTGTGTCAGTCACATACATTGACCACAAACTGTATAGAGTGAAGCCTGCATGTAACACACTAATAGCAGGAGACCCTGCTGGGTTTAGCACTTAGTCTTGATTGTAATAATAATAGCTAACAGCAGGAATTATCTCAGCATTTTTCAAGTCAGAATAACATTATAAAATACCAAAATAAAAAAAATTGAAGTACTACTCTGGTATATAAATAATAAAATACTCTACATAAAATTTGTACTTATAAGTACTGGTGCTTCTCAACTTAGAATATTTCAACTTTATGATGTTACAAAATCAATTACTTTGAAGATGAAACTTAAGATAATTACCCGAAGCTGGTATTTAGTTACATTAATTATTTGTTTATTTATTTAAAATATAATAATAATAATAATAATAATAATGTTTATTTCTACAAGTACATGTACAAGTTATACAGACCATAACTGACATCAATGACATATGTACTACTGTATAAAAAGCCCCTTGTTATGCAGAGCATATCCCACAAATTATGTCAGTTTTGTCCTGGGATGCGACCCACACCAGTCCTCTAACACCCAGGTACCTATTTTATTGATAGGTGAACATGGAAAGTAGATATCTTACAATATATACTACTTACTTTGGGTTTGTTGGATCATAAGTTGAGAACACCTATACTCTGCTTTATGACTAATATACTTCTCTACACACAATTTGTACTTATATTTCAATAAATATTGAAAATAAGGGACTTAACCCTTAAACTGTCCAAATGTAGCTGTACGCTGACGTGCGTAGTGCTCCGAACATAGATCTATGTCCGATTTTACGTGCTTTCAAATGGAGAAAATCAAGGTTGGAGCGCTACGCACGTCAACGTAGATCTACGTTTGGACAGTTTAAGGGTTAAAAGTGCCGTCATGGAGGTGCCTTCATGCCAGTCAGGGACTCTCGATGCCAAAAACATATTCCTCTTCTCCCCAACTCTCAGTGCCTCCTACACCCCCCAGGTGCTATGTGACCCCTGTGAGTTTAGCTCTTCCCCTAATTAAAAAAAATAAAATTGTTGACATCATATTCCATGGTGGTGATCATTTTCCATTGTGAGGCTGTGGGGTCGTAACGTCTCAGCATTGTCAGACAGATGCTGTGAGCTAGGAAGAAGCTTTATTCTACACAGCTTTACCCACACTGTGGCTTTATCAACTGATCAACCACTCTGGCCTAAAATGGTGTAAAATAAAGCTTAAAGTTGCTTTGAATGGCTGCCAGTTCAGGTCTTAGTCTAGCAGCTACTGTAGTTTATAGTCAACAAAAACTACAACAGCTGTAGTTTGTTTCCTAAAAAAAAAAGAAAAAAAATGGAGCAGTAGGAGAACATTTATTTTTTTATGTTCCGTTTATGAGGTGTTTATTAAGCATCTTGACGAGACAAGTGAATGAGGTGCAGAAGGCTCTCTCCCCATTCTACACTCCCTCCTACCTCTGCTGGTGCTTCTGGCAAGATATTGATTGAATGAACAATGGTTTGTGTGTTTCCTCTTTTTCTCTGGGGCTCCCCACCTCAGTGAGAGACGGTCAGTGCATTACAGTAATAATTATAATAATAAATTTGGGATATTATGATTAGCAAGTGCCAGCTCATTTCAAAAATTCACGAACATTCACATGTAACATTTTCAAATCGCCCATTACTCGGTGAGGGCAATTGTCAACTCACAGTCATCAGTCAGATTGCCCTCTCCTCAGGACGTCGTCGCTGCGGTGTTCATCTGCGTCAACGTCCCCAAAGCACAGCTTGGTGGAGCGTCCATCAGGGCCGCCCCAGACCGTCACTTTCAAGGCTGACAAGACACTGAAGGGCCTCGTCGACGGCACAGAACCCTCGCCAATCAGACGGGTGAGTGAGTGTGTGAGTGGCAACACACTAAAATTCAAGAACCACTCAATGTTTTGTCTACCATCAGGTAAATTTAACCCACAACTGAACAGTGGGAGCAGGATAACTCTCAAAACTCATTATACATACAGTAAGCTCTCTTATAAAGCTCATCTATATACAGTCAGTTCTTTTATTTAGCTCCTCTATATACAGTCACCTCTTGTAAATCTCCTCTATATACAGTAAGTTTATAAAGTTTCTCTGTATACATTCTCTCCTAAAGTTTCTCTACATACAGTCAGTTCTTATAAAGTTCCTCTGCATACAGTCAGTTCTTATAAAGCTCCTCTGTATACAGTCAGTTCTTATAAAGCTCCTCTGTATACAGTCAGGTCTTGTAAAGCTTCTCTGTATACAGTCAGTTCTTGTAAAGCTTCTCTGTATACAGTCAGTTCTTATAAAAGCTCCTCTATAAGTGACCCACTGATCAGATCTGACTGGTTCCGAACCCTTGACTGGTCTGAAACCTTGACCGGTTTCAAACGGATTCGTTGGACAATAAAGCAGACTGTAAATGGATGGGGTTGTAGGCGCCCTTATCAAACACAAACAATAAATATAAAACAGGAAAGTACACTGGTAAGCTGTCCTAATATACAAGTACAGTTAGAAATACAAATACAAATAGCTAGAGCTTCATTTTAAGGAGGTTATTAATAGAGTATTCAAGAGGTTACTAGTAGAATTACAGTAAATCAACCATTCAAATCATTATGAAGCTCTGTGTAGTCTACAGTCAATCAAGCAAACGGGCTTCCACATGGATAAATTGTCATTTTTGTGGAAATTGGTGCCACGCCCCTTGTGCAGATATCCAAGAACTAGCTACAAGCAGTATTAAATCAGGGAAGTGTTTTTGGGTATGCCCAAATGAGATCAATCTGTGGACTAAAATCACATTGGTATTAAAAGAGGATAACATCAAAGCTGCTTTCATAGACAACCTGGAAGCTTTCTACAACAGATGGGAAAATAAAAAGTCTGGGCTGGATGGTATCGCCCTTGATGCTGGCCATGTAGTCAGAAACTGTAAGGCTGGAGGTGATGTCCTGTTAGTCAGTAAATGTGGGGCTGATAGTGCTGTCCTGGGAGACAGTAATGGTGAAGCTGGAGGTGCTGTCCTGGGAGACAGTAATGGTGAGGATGGAGGTGCTGTCCTGGGAGACAGTAATGGTGAAGTTGGAGATTTTGTCCAGGTAGTCAGGAAATATATGCAGGAGGGAATGCATATAAATGACTTCATGGGAGACAGGAGCTGTAGTGGGGAAATAAGTGTAGTCAAGGACAAGATAAAACCAATATTGCAAACTAGTAATACCACAGGAAATAGCAAACAAGAGGACTCCACTAGCAATAATGAGGATATATTACCAAAAACAACTGGTGAGAGCTCCATTGTTGGTGCTAGTGAGGATAGGAATAAGACAGGTAAACATGCACCAACAGGGAATACAGTCACAGAAACCCAAGGCAAATGGAAACCAAGCCTGTGCACATACTAGATACAAAACATCCAGGCCATGGGAAAACCGGGGTAGCCACAGCCACTCAAGAGGGAGAGATTTTTTAGTGCCAGGAAGGACAAAAAATGCAGGAAATGGCGGAAATTGTACACCAAATCCAGTCATTCCGGGAGTGGAACCACAGTCGATGGCCTCCACTCCAAACCAACAGATACAGATACTATGCCGGAAAAAAAATCCCCCCCCCCAGTACCAACA